CTCTGCTCAAGACAATTCCTGGAATCGCTGGTAACGACACCGCTTACGAAATGGTCGTCGTGGCTGGCCAGGTTGCCTATGCCGAATCATATAAGTACGTGTACTTGACGAGTATTGCATTTGGCTCGATTGCCATCTTGTCCAGCGTCTTTTTGGGGAATATCGACAAGTATATGGACGATCACGTCGCTGTCGTGATGCACTGAGCTGCGGCAAGCTTTGTCGAGGAAGGGGAAATGCCCTCGGGAGATCTGTTGTTAGGAGTACTGCAGCAATGGATCTTGGAGAATGGTCGATTACCAGGCACATCTCCGAGGGGAAATTCTAGTCTGGTCCGTCGAAAGATTACACCGATGGTAGATAGACATAGGCTGGCATAAAATATAAGAGTCTCGTCCATATTGATTCGATTTTTCTGGTATTTGTTCAGTATTTCCAGGAGCCACATGCTGGGGAAAGCGGAGAATGAGAGGAGGAGGACGAGGAATTTGGACGAAAAGGAGCAGGGAGGATATTTACGACACAAGAAAAGCTTGGACCAACGTCTAGACCGAGCCCTGCGTCCTGTGTCTTCTTAGAGCATCATCCCCAAGCCGTGTCAAGGACAAGGACAAGGAGGAGAGAGGGGGAATAGAGGGCCAGAGCAAGCGAAAAGCTCGTATTCCTCCCCCATACTCCATTTCTGAAGCCTTGTCCTCGGAATCTGTTTGGCTCTTTTTGAGGGTCGTTTCCCCCGCAAAATTTCTGGGCGGTGCCGCTGCCGAGCCGCTTGTGTTCCTGGTTCCCCCTCGGGGTTTCCTCTTCTGGGGGTCATCAGTGGTAAGGAACTCGGCGAGTCGGTAAGTACATGTCAATTGTTTGTACCCGAGGGCGGCTTTTGACTGTGGCGGTGGGATTTTATGGGCGGGGTGGGAGAGATCGGAAGGGGGGAGGAGGGATGTCGAAAGGTTGGAATCCGGTGCGAGATTCAGGTGAGAGGGGGAGGGAGGTGGCGGTCGTGATGATGGTTGTGATGGGTATATGTATTCTGGTCTGTGCCGTGTACGCTGTGTTCTGTAGCTTCGAGGATGTAGTCGAGAGGTAGATAGACCAGCGGTATAGACAGACCCAAGGTACGAGGTACTGCATGCGCATATATACATACACCACGCGTATTCGAATCCACCTTTGACGGGCGTGTGCCTCGGGGACTCGGGTTAATTCATCTGGATCGGAACAAGACAACCGGCATTGAGAGTGGTTTGATGATTACGCTCTTGTACAAACCTGGACGGCTCCACGTTTACAAAGTAGCATAGGGTTTCCTCTCGACTCCTCGATTCTGGATCCTGTATGAGTGTTGTCGGTACTCGCTCTCTCTCTTCCCGTCAGTACGCGGTCGAGATACATATGTAGGTCTGGATCCGGTCGTGTCGCTTAGTTGGTTGGTTGGCTGGCTGCCTGGCGTGGCAGCGCTGGCCAGATTTCCCGATGCGGGTGCATCTTGCGAGCCAAAAAGGCTCCAAAGCCATGGCGGGTTGATCGATTGGTTCCGTCAGTGTCGGTAGAGAAGACCTAGACGCACATGGATCTCATGTCCTCGGTTGGGTAGATGGCGAAATGGGACTTGGGCGGAGGGGGTAGGCGAAACCGGGAGGACGTATTCGTATACTTCGTTGACGATAGTAAATCCGCGAGCGGGACATGACGGGCTGATAAAAGGGCTCGTCCATTCTGGTTTTCCTGCTGCTGTTCAGACCCGGCTCGGGGTGTCTTGGTCGTTTGAGAGTTTTGTCCCCCCAAATCTCCGGTTCTCTCTGCTTGTGTATCAAAACTTTGATCTCAAGAGTTGAGTTGAGAACCCCGCGAGAGAATGAACGCGCATGCAAAGGGGGATTTGAAATCGGTCTTCGCTTGTAACTTGGCCGATGGCTCGGGAAAGAAATGACTGGGGGCCCAGCGTAGATGGAGCCAAAACGGCAGAAATAACGAATAACCAAATGATCCTTCACATGCCTCGGTTGTGGTCCGTTCGTCCTTTGTCGCGTCAACTCGGGACGAGGCTATGGGCAGACAGAGGTGTTCCGGGGGGAGCTCAGGAGAAAATGAGAGGGATAATCATTCTTGTCCACCCTTTTCTTCCGAAATTGCTGTTCGGCTCAAGCTCAAGCTCGATGGTGGACCTCCTCGATGTCCAGGAGAAAGAGTGCAAGAACAGGATGTCGATGGTTTAGAGAGAAGAGACATACAAAGCTGCAGAAAAGGAGACGAGTGGGGAACAATAGGTCAGCCTTGCAGAGTAGGAAGCTGAATGAAGAAAGAGAATATAGAGAGAAGAGAAGAGAAAAGGTAATAGGATAACCTTGCCTAGTCAGGGCCCGATAGGGGAGCAGGTGGAATGAAGTTGCTAAAGGCAAAAGGTCTGTGCGACTCATCATGTATTCAATTGAGAAGCCCGCCCGGCTGAAGATTAGGCATTTAGTCTCCCGATCCAGCCTGTTAGGTAATGCCGATAAAGTTCCTCGGCATGGATATCTTGATCTGAGAAGGTGGTTTGCTGCGTTGTGCTGGGAAGAGTGCTTCTTGTTGTTCCGACCCAGTATTCCGAGGGTATCTGAAGATTAATAATAATCAGACCCGGCGCCCGGCGCTGATATGTAAAGCCGGTACAGCTGAAGGACGGCGCGGAGAGATTGTTACCCCGCCGGACATGCCAATATATAACGTTAGGTTCAAGTCGAAAGATCTGAGTCAAGACTGAGCTCCTTTGAAGGACCGAGGTTTTTGACTTCTAGGAAGGGTGGAAGCCTTATTATATCACGTGGCCACGGGTTTCGTCTTTGTCCATCGCCTTGAAAGAGGTGGATGGCCACCTGTCGTCCATGATTTTGCAAACCGCTTATCCAAATTTTGATTGGAAGTTGTCGCCAGTCGGCCCGTTCGTCTGGAGAGGTCGCCTGATGATGCAGGATTTCGGGACTGCACTTTCGCTTCTATAAGGCAGGGTAACTCTGGCAGAGTTTTCAGGCGACTTGAACATCCCACCTTGTAGCGATGACTAGATCAAGATCTAGAGGTCCATCTTCCCCAAGCCGCTCAATTCCAGTTCGGCCAGTGTCTCTCCTCCAACGTCATTCTCATCAACTCCTATTTCCTCAGCGTCGGCGTTGGCATCAGCATCCTCGAACCAGAGCCGCACGCTGCCGTATGAAATGCACAGTTCCTCTCCGGCCTTGATATCACGTAGTGCAGTGTAGACGATAACATCGGTCTCGGTATTGCGCATCCAGCCGACGTTTTGATCCCGCGTTGAGTGGTTGAACATCGATCCAAGTCCCAGCGCAAGCGCTTGGGTCATGGTGCGGCCGGACTCAGAGGGCCAGTAACTGCGACAGGAGAAGGACAGTAAGAATAACGGTATAGCATCATACGAGGAAGATTCAGATGACGCTATGTTGGCGACAAACCTAGCCCTGCGAGGCCAAAGGGTTGAGGCTTACTAGGTGTAGTGCTGGAGGCATGTGTGCTTCGTGTGTTTCTCAACCTCATCCTCCGTGAATATTAGTACCGGGCTGACCTCTACCACGGTGCCGTGAGGGATGTCCTGGGTCGCGAAAACGCCTCGACCTAGAAATGTCAAGGCACAGATAGGTCAGGCTCAACTCGAGGTGGCATCTTGAGCAATTGGGGTAAGGCTGGCAACGTGCACTGATTTCCTGCCCTGCATGGAAAAGCGGGTTGTTGGGGTCAATCCGGGGAAGGAAACTCGTGATTTACTTACACGACGCGCAGAATCACGCAATCGTTTTTCATCGAGACCTACCCTTTGGTGTATTCATGACAAGCACGAGACCAGTTGTCCTAAGTAGGGGTTGATCTCCCCGGAGCGTGGCGCCATTGTCCGACATTTGCAGAAACCGAGGCAGTAAGGGTGCCTGACAGGGGTTCAGCCTGATCTACGACAAGTCAGGGGAACTAAATGCCTAGTAGGCCTGATGCGTGTAGGATGCAGTGAAGAGTCGACCCGAGTGAAAAAGTTGAAAGATTCCAAAATAGGAAAAGCGTGAGATAGGGCGGCATCAGGCGGTGAACAAGATATGACGTCAGAGAGACATTATTTCTGATGCCCGACTGCTTGAGACGAGACCCTCGTCGTCCCTCGCCTCACCATCCAGTCTGAGTTCATCAAGGAATTATGACTAACAATGCCACCAGTGCGCGAATTTTTATGCTGCTGCCTAAGTTATGTTCCCCATCAGTGCTGACGAAAACCACCACCTCTTCCCGTTGAAACTGCATCTGTCTTCGAGGTGCAATGTACCGACCCTTGAGTCGACCTTGGGAGGGAGCTCTGTGAACCTTTTACCACGATAGTAGAACAGGAAGCCTACAAGAGCAAAGAATGCCAAGCAAAAAAAAAAAAGGGAAATTGGGCAACAGAGGAACTGCGCGATTTAAGTCATCGAAAGGTGTTGCGTTGCACCCTCCATGTCTGGCATAAGCTGGGAATTCGATGGAGAGTATACCCTTCCGACCACTTCCGCTGCGCTTAGGCTCCCAACTTCCAGCCCACCTACCTCGCGATGAAACGGGCAAATGAACAGGTACTACGACCGCAGCCTTGCGACTCAGCCTCATATGTCGATCTTCGTGAATACCTGACTGGTCCATTCTCTCGGAAGCTGACGCTTCCCCGGACTCTGTGTCCCTTGTGTCGCGGCAATAGAATCCTCCCGCGGCTGAAGTAAGTGAGCGATTTGACTATACATCAAAAGGAGAACGACGTCATTTCGATGTTTCTAGTATGTGATTCCGTGCTCGATGGTCGTCAGCATGAGTGCATAAGTAGAGAGGCGCTGTTCGCCTCAAAGACCGCTTCAGCATTCCAGCGTTTGCACATATCTACTCGAACAGCAATCAAAGCCTTTGGAGAAGCAGTCTACCAAATCATATCCACCAATCATACTCAAATTCCTACCGCCCAAACCTCCTTCCCCAAGACAAGAATCTCAATAGTCACAATGGCCGAAACATTCAACGGACAAGTGCTTATGGACCAACCCGCCGGGACAGGCAACCGTCCTTACGCTGCTGAATCCTGGCTTGAACCATGGCTCATTAAGCACTCGGAATTTTATCGCAAGCACTTTACCCGTGACGGACGTCGGGAAAGCAAGTCCACCAGACGTCACAGCGTCGTCGCTGAAGGACTAGAGTCCCGAAAAAATTCGGTTGCTGCTCCCGAAGCTGAGGCCGCTTCTACCACCACCCCAGAGACCGATGGCACATCCGCCACCCCGGCTCCCGTTGAGCAACCAAGAGAGAGCGTCGACACCGCGGCTGCTGCTGAGGCTGTGGCCAAGAAGGACAAGTTTGGTTCGTTGCGCCGGAGCGTTGGCTGGTTTCCACACCCATGATTGAGTCTCTTGAAGGAGTGTCTGGAAGGACGATAATGGTGAAATGTATAGGGGAGAAACCTGGAGTCTTGAGGCTGAGGATGTGCGTTTGATACCCAAAGTGAACCATCTGTACGAGTATATGCTTGAATCAGGCAGCTGTTTTTGAGAAGCGTCAACAATTTTTCGTTTTTATTTGCACAACCTTCATTTTCACGACATAGCTGGTCACTCCATTTGCCCCCCTGTCGTAGAGTGTGGCGAGTATCCCAATTACAAACATATCTAGTGTTAGTAGCAAGTGGTATGGTTGATTGGTGGGGGTTTTGCTCTATCAACCCCTTGCCCTTCTTTACCAGTTGGTATTCCCGATTTGGTCATTGTGAATTTCGGCATCGAAATTTTGTACTCAGTACAAGGTACAGATGTATTCATGTACCTAGTGTGCCTGTGTATGGTAGGTTCAAGCATACCGGATTGGTGGAGATTTGGTAGCTAAATCGTGGCCGACGCTACCATTCTCGCACGACAAGGGATTGCAGCACGGTACTTGAGTTCCGTCACCAGAATATGTTCTCGACCGAAAGCCCTAAAAGGTTTCCAATCCCAGAAAGCGATGACATTCTTTGATGCCCAGTCGGCCGAGAGAGACTTTCACGTGCCCCAAATGAGGCAAGCACCAAGGTACCGCCAAATCAAGCCTTAACCATTTATGGGGCGCGGGACTCCGTAGCCAATCAGCCGCTGGGGCCCTGAAAATCGCGTCTTGCGAGCCACGCGTGGCATGTTTGGTGTGTGTGAAAATGTCAATGGTGAAATTGTCCCAACCGGTCAGCCGATGATGGAAGCAAAAGACCCTGGGCGTCAGTCTGATAGAAGCTGACTCTGCATTAGAGTACGACTCGTCCAGCTGGGTGGCATTATGACTACATATACAAGATCAGAGGCATCCTCTCGGCAGCCGTCAAAGTCCCTAAACTATTGTCTTACATCTCATCTCGCATTCAGCCCGGATCCAATTGCACCATTCAGCCTCTGCCCAAACCCCTGACTCCACCACCATATCAGACATAGTCCGCCTGCGCTTGTCCGGGTGGGCGACTACCATTATTTATATTTATATCAGTCGCCTTCCAACCTGTCCTCACCGTCGCCACCATCTCGATTTATCAACCCTCGCTCGAGTTCACTGACAGTCCTCACCCGACACTCGACACAATGTCCACTCACACCATTGTCATCATCGGTGCGTCCTTCGCTGGACTCACCATCGCCCATAACCTGCTGAAGACTATCCTACCCCAACTGTCGTCGGCCGACAAACGTGCCTACAAGGTCGTTCAGATCGCCCCCAACGACGAGTTCTACTGGAAGATTGGCGCTCCCCGAGTCCTCGGAAACCCCAAGTCGCTGCCGCTGGAAAAGGCTCTCATCCCCATCGCCCCTGCCTTCAAGGCCTACTCAGCAGAGCAGTACGAGTTCATCAAAGCCCACGTCACTTCGATTGATCCCTCGAGCCAGACTGTCCATACCAGTACCTCAAATGCCGTCCACTACGATTCCCTCATCATCGCCTCCGGTACCAGCTTTGCAAGCCCCTTGTGGTCTGTAACAGACGGCTCTGAACCTCTGAAGAGCGCCATCAGCGAGATTCACAAAAAGCTCCCCGACGCAGAGTCTATCTTGATCGCTGGTGGTGGTGCTGCTGGTGTGGAGACTGCAGGCGAGTTTGGAGAAGTGTACGGAAAGAAGAAGGAAATCACACTTTTGTCTGGCAGCACTTCCCTGCTTCCTAGACTACACAACAAGAAGATGGGCCATGACGCTCAATCTCGGCTTGAGAAGATGGGAGTCAAGGTTATCAACAACAGCGTTCGAGTCGTGGAGCACACCACTGAAGGTGGCAAAGAGGTGTTGAAGTTGAGCAATGGAGAAACCAAGACTGTCGATATCTACATCGAGGCTACTGGTGACAAGCCGAACAGCAAATTTGTCCCTCAGGAATGGTTGGACGATGCGCAGAAGGTGAAGACGGACCCTCATACTCTCCGTCTAGATGTTTCTGGAGTCACGGGCGTCTATTGCATTGGTAGCGTCGCCAGCTACGCAGATGGCTCCATCATGGACGTCAAGTTCGCAGCACCAGCCCTCTTGGAAAGCATCAAGACGGACCTTCAAGGCAAAGGTGAGTAGTCCTTAAGTTTTACCCTTGTGCTGTGCTTCTGCTAACGATATTAAACAGGTGGCCCGCGCACCAACAAAATCTACAAGAAAATTACCAGCGACATGCAATTTGTCCCTATTGGTTCTCAAGGAGGTGTAGGTGTTGTTTTCGGCTGGAAGCTCCCCAGCTTCTTGGTCAAGATGGCCAAGGCCAAGGACTTCATGATCGGCCAAGCTGTTAAGACCGTCGAGGGCACCGCATGATCTCTCGAGAGGCTTTGGTAGAACCTGAGCGGGCATTGTGTTTTTGTGTTGTTTTTCAATAGAGATACCCGGTCTTGACTGTCAGCGGCTGCGCAACAGGGCGTCTGCTTGAATTGGGGAGAATTTGCATAGAGGACAGCGAGATTATACACTAGTATACGGTAATCAGATCAATCTCGATCGTCGTCCTCACGAATCGGGAGAATTAGGATGTGGAAATTTCCAGAGCGATGCTCGATGGGTCGATGGCGATATTTCCCGATGCTTTGCTTAGGAACGCTTCCGCCAGAACATTTCCGACCGCCGCCAATGATTGCCTCGCCGACGATTTTCCAGCCAATTAATTTTCCAATGCTCAGTACATTTGCTTCCGCGAGGTCGAGCAGGCGGTTTGATTATATGGCAGTTTTTTTCCTTATTTAAGACATCATAGACCGGATATTCCCTTTGTGCTAGATCAAGCGGCCATCCTCTCTTTACCTCTCTCGTTGTGATAGAACGGCAAAGATGCTGGGGCGGGTTTCTCTTGCTGCGAAACCTTCAGCACCAGTAACCAAACTCTTTCCCTGCGTCGCAGTGCGGAGTAGTTGCTTGAAAGCTGCTTCCCTGCGAAACTTCTCCTCCTCCCTCTCGCAGACGTCACGCAGGACAACTTCCATATCCCCTCGAGCTTCACCCGACCATTACCGAGCGTTCAGCAGCACAGCAAGAATGTCCGCAGCTACGAGAACCGAAACGGATGCGTTCGGACCCATCGAGGTCCCCTCAGACAAGTACTGGGGTGCGCAGACGCAAAGATCTTTGGGCAATTTCAAGATCAATCAGCCTCAAGATCGAATGCCGGAAGGTGTTGTTCGAGCGTTTGGTATCCTCAAAGGGGCCGCGGCCACCGTGAATATGAAATATGGCCTTGGTAGACACTTCCGATAAAGCTTCTACCAAACACCACCGCTAACCAAGGGACAGACCCCAAGATCGGAGAAGCGATCCAGCAAGCTGCCGCCGAAGTGGCTTCCCTGAAGCTGGTCGATCATTTCCCTCTCGTCGTCTGGCAGACAGGCTCTGGCACGCAGTCCAACATGAACGCAAACGAGGTCATCTCGAACCGGGCGATCGAGATCTTGGGGGGCCAAATGGGCAGCAAGAAGCCTGTACATCCCAACGACCATGTCAATATGTCTGCTAGCTCCAACGACTCCTTCCCCACCGTCATGCATATCGCCGCTGTCCTTGACTTTGAAGAGCGACTCATCCCTGCTCTCAAGAACCTCAGAGATGCACTCCAGAAGAAGGTGGAAGCATTCGACAAGATTATCAAGATTGGAAGGACCCATTTGCAAGACGCTACACCATTGACACTTGGCCAAGAGTTCAGCGGGTACGTGGCTCAGCTCGATCGAAATTTGGAGAGAATTCAAGCATCTCTCCCCCATCTGAGACAATTGGCCCAGGGCGGTACCGCTGTTGGTACTGGCCTCAACACGTTTAAAGGCTTCGCGGAAGGGATTGCTGAAGAGGTGACCAAAATGACTGGCACAGAATTTGTGACTGCCCCCAACAAGTTCGAAGTGTTGGCCGCCCACGACAGCATCGTTGAAGCATCCGGGACACTTAACACACTTGCTTGCAGTCTGTTCAAGATCGCACAGGATATCAGATACCTTGGCTCGGGACCTCGTTGTGGTCTAGGAGAGCTGGTTCTCCCAGAGAACGAACCTGGCAGCAGTATTATGCCTGGAAAGGTCAATCCTACCCAGTGCGAAGCTATGACTATGGTTGCTGCTCAGGTGATGGGAAATCATACCGCTGCAACGATTGGCGGCATGAACGGTCAATTCGAACTGAATGTCTTCAAACCTCTGTTGATCCGAAACCTCCTTCACAGCAGCAGAATTCTGTCCGATGCAATGAACGGATTCGTCGAGCATCTTGTTGATGGTCTGAAGGCGGACGAAAAGAGGATTAGCACACTTCTCCACGAAAGGTATGTCTCGCAGCTCCCAGAGATCTAGTTTTGTCTATTTACTTACTGTGTTTTAGTCTTATGCTCGTGACCTGCCTCAACCCAGTCATTGGTTATGACATGGCCTCCAAGGTCGCGAAGAATGCGCACAAGAAGGGCTTGACCTTGAAACAGTCAGCGATGGAATTGAAGGCTCTTTCCGAGGAGGACTTTGACAAATACGTCCGACCAGAGCTCATGCTTGCACCCAAGGAGAAGAAATGATGCGACCTAGTCATCACTTTGACTGTATTGATGTCGTAAAGAACTCATGTTTGTACAGATAGCGGTCCAGGATTCTATGCACATCAAGGTTGACCTGGTTTGATTGTATTGTACAAAATTCACGATATTTCTGCCAGAGATCGACATAGCTATGATAGACTTTTACAGATATAGATTCATCTTCCGCCGTCGAGAAGGTTGTTGTTCCCAATGGTGCCTCTCAACCCATATCTGCTGTTTGTTGAGGTGGCGATCTGCAGTTTCGTCGTTAATTGACCAAAAAGGTATAGAGGCCTGGCAGGTTCATGGAAAGAAAGCTTGTCCATAAAGGCTCCTTCGTACGTACTTTTACCGAGTAGACGACGAGGCTTTGCGAGCAGAGATCCGGCAAGGCTGAAGGGAGCACGTGAGTGCGGAATGGTCGGTAAAGGACGGAGTAAACACCGGCAAATGCCAAGACGTCTTCGGCTAATGGGACTTCTCCGTGATGCGCTAGTCCCGTTTTAAAAATCGCCGCGCTTATCCCATCTTCGGCATTTGCGGTCGTACTTCTTTCCCACGGTGGCTGGCAGCTCGAATCGCTTCTCCGCTTTCCACCAAAGTCGTCTCCCGGCCGACTTCATCTTCCCCTCTCTCTCCATGAGGGGCTCCATCTCCACACCTAGCATCAGAGCCAGAAAGACACGAGGCTTCAAGGAGCTATGGACACAACACAGTCAGTTGGCGGCGGCGGCAGAGTCAAGAGAAAGCAGTCGGGCAATAAGATCAAGACGCTGCCGTGCCCGCACTGTCAGCGACTCTTTGCTCGTCTAGTAAGTCCTGTTCAATTCCAGCACTTCAGCTCGCATTGGGATCAACCGGCTATCCAGCTACAAGACGACTAACGAGAAAATTTGTTGGAACCAGGAACATCTTCAACGGCACATTCGCACCCATACCAAAGAGAAACCCTTCGTCTGCGATATTTGCTCCAAGACCTTTGCACGCAGTGACCTGCTCGTGCGCCACGAGAGGCTCGTCCACCCGGGCGAGGAAGAGCAGCATACCACGCGGAAGTCACACAAACACCACATTCAAAATGCCAACGCGGCAAAGGAGGCCGCAGCCCGGGTGCAGGCGCAGCATGGAGCTTCGAATCATTCCGACCCCATGGACATCGCGCCACAGCAGAATCAGGCCTTGCTCTCCCCCCATCAAGGTGCGCACGATGGGAGAGGGATGATGGACATGCTGGATCCGCAGCTCATGCAACCCTCCAATGGCATCAACTCGGTCGATGGGATGTCGGCGCACCAGTCGTCTGTGATCAATGCGCCGTCACTCGATCCGTCCTGGGGCTACGACTTGAATCTTCTCTCTCACGCGGCCAGCCATGTCGCGTCCAGTGGTCAGGATCACTACATGTCCGGCTTGCCGCAAGTCACGCAAGAACAGCTCAACGAGCCCTTGCAACAGATCATGCCGGCAGTGACCGAGGGGCAATACCAGCCGAGAATGCTGACCGAAGGATATGGGCAGTCGACGCCCATGTTCGAACCTCCCGACCTCGGCGATCCCATGCAAGACTTCACCGTCTTCCTCGACAGCGTCGGCCTTTCGTCCGAGTGGTATGCAAATATGTTTGGCAATGATCAGGTTGATGCGTACAACTCCCCCACCGAGTTGAGAGGCGATCACTTGAATATATCGAGGCCTCAATTGAACGGTGAGCATCCTACCGATAGCAAGCTTGGTGTTCCTCAAGAAGAAACGAGCACATTTTCACGATTTGGATCAAGACTTCCGTCCCTTCAACCAGAATCCAAAGATTCTGACTTCACTCGGCCAGACCCTCCTCGAAGTACGGTCGAAGAAGCCGAGGCCAAAGTGGTCAGGACAACCTGGGATGTCTCAGATACAGATCGATCCATATTTGCCTCCAAGCTTGCCGCATTCGACAATGTCATGCCCAAAGGCTTCATACCTCCTTCAAGGCATTCGCTTTCGAGATACCTGGCGGGTTATGTCAATGGCTTCCACGAACACCTTCCCTTTATTCACGTGCCATCTCTCCAAGTTGCAGGTAGTGCTCCGGAGCTTGTTCTAGCCCTGGCCGCCGTGGGTGCCCAATACCGATTTGAGAATAGCCGAGGAATCGAACTATTCTATGCCGCAAAAGCCGTCGTGTTGGAACAAATCAGACGGCGTGACGAGTCCTCGACGACTCACTTGTGGAACCGACCTCGGACAGGGTCGATGGCTCAGTCGCCAGGAGGAGGCTTCACCAACAAAAGCCATTCAAGCAGTCCGTTCCAACACATTTCTCCCGAAGACGCACTTCCTGCCGATAGCAAAGAGCAAATGGACTCAATACAAGCGCTCCTGCTGCTGACTGCCTTTGCTACATGGGAGAGGCATACTGAGCTGCTACGTGAGGCTTTGGCCTTTCAGAGCATTCTAGCACGGCTTGTCCGAGAAGCCGGCCTGACGAGTCCGGAAATCATGCAGTCGCCGGAGGAGCTGACTTGGGAGGACTGGATCAAAATCGAGGGCGAGAAGCGGACCAAGCTCATCGTCTACTGCTTCTTTAATCTGCATTCAATCACATGGAATGTGCCTCCGCTCATCCTCAACTCGGAAATCAAGCTCAACTTGCCCGATCCTGCCAACGAGTGGAAAGCCACCAGCGCGGAACAGTGGAAGAAATTGCGACAAGCAAACTCCGCACCGCAGATGCCTTTCCAGACCGCGTTCTCCCGGCTGTTCAACAAACAGAACCAAGCCACGGCGACTC